TTTTTCTTTAGACTTTGCCAGTTTTGCTTATCGTCACTGTGGTTATAGCATGACACCTTTTTGACTTTCTTTTTCTGATACAGCTGCTATTTTCATGTTCTAATTAACATATGAAAGGCATATATAAAAAAATCTGCTTTTGCTCACATCTTTGTTCCAATGCGCTAAAATGAGCTACTAGTGAGCCAGCATGTTGGCTTGTGAGTGTGCCATGATAACTTTCTACTGTTTTACTGTTTAAAGCCCATTTCGTGTGCACCTTGCTGTGTAGCTGGTGACGAATTGTTGAGTGTGTTTGTCATTTGTTTTGCTTGACTGATTTGGTGCAGTGATGCATGGGGGTTCTCAGCTGCCATTGGGATATGCGGGATCCCCTGTGTGTTCCTGTGCCTTTTGAATCTGAACAGAGTCCCAGCTGTTAAACCTCTTAAAGACCCATAATGGGATTATCCCGTCATGGATCGTGAAGGGGTTAAATGAATGTGTATTTATTCAAAGAACATTTCAAAATGGTTTGCACCAGATTTTCTTACTGCGTTCATATTTTAAGAAATAACAACATGACACCCAAAATACATCATTATCCATGTCACTATTGAGATTCCATTAACGTTGGGTAGACATGGGCATTTTCAAGGGTGATCATTTTACAGAAAAACACTTGTGTGTGAAAGGATAGATAAATTCATGCTGCTGTTGCCAAAGTCGTCAAGTGGCATTGCTCTGGGACTTATCCTTTCCTCACTTCTTGGATAGTTACTGACCTGTAATAAGCACAGAAATATCAACTGTTGGGTCATCTAATGCACATGCATATTGTAGGGAAGAATGGAAGGAGCATAACAGGTGTTGAGCATGCACCTTCAAAAATGCGTCCATAATGACAGCTTTAAAAAAAAAACAAAAAGACCTAAGCAGCCTGAAACCCTTTCAATGCTTTAATGGGATTGCTGGCTGTAACTTGAACAAGCATTTAGCAGGCTTCATTTTTTTTCAGCATAAAACTTTATTCAAGGTTTATCGCAATACAATACAGCCATAATGTACAGGTTGGGATCACATGTAACGGGTGATGGTACAATCATGGCTTTTCACAGAGGGCTGAGAACAAGGCAAAACAATTTACAAACTACCAGACTTCTACAGTATTCAAAACAAATAAATTACAGGCAAAGGGTCTGACATGGTATATGCGTTCAGTAAGCACATTATGCAGAGCAATTTCACCCATGAGCATGTTTTCAACTGCTCAAGAAGAGACAAAAGGGAGAGGTTAGAAAGAGCAAGAAGAGAAAAAGATGGGGGGAGTGTGACATACAATCAGGGGTAGGGGAGAGCCAACAGGAAGCCAGCAGAGCTTCACACACTGATTTGTTTAATAGGTTAGTAGATTTTGTAGTCGTAGAGTACCTGAGAGAACAATCCAGGTACTGTAAACCTCAAGTAGTTGCATAGCTAGAATGTGTATCATAATGTGAAGCAGCAAGCTCCTCCATGTAATGAATGAGTGAAGTTCTTGCAGCCATTCTGAGACGGTAGGAACTGATGTAGTTTTCCAATGTTGGATTGTAGCTTGGCTAAAGAACTTAAGGATGACGGTTTTAGGACATTTTGAGAAGGGAGAGGGCTACAGCAGAGTTAATCAATCTCTGCAAGGCTGTTTGGCTCTGCAGATGTTTGTTATGGTTAGTAAATATGGCTGCTGAATTTGATAACCAGTGTTTACAAGATTAGATAAATGTCTTATTTTTTTTTTTTATTTATTTTACTCTCTTGTCTTTTTAATCCTACTTTCAAAACCAAATACCTTACTTAGGTTTTAAAGTTACAAGAACAACTAGATAACACAGCTGTGAAACTGGAAGAGAGCAAGCAACTGCTGAAGACCAATGAGAATGGCAAGTGTTGCAACACTATTTGTAATGGCATTATTTACTGTTAAATGAGATACATTGTCACTTGATACTCTTAGCTACATTGACCTGTTTCCTATAATACTTTTTGATTTGTAAGGCGGATATCCAAGTTTCTCTGGGTTTTTTTTTGCCCTAGCATTTTTCTTTTAAAAAAAAATAGTTTGCACGAAAACTAAATGGCCTATACCAAGCTATAGCAGGTTACTTCAAAAACAAATCTTTATACGCATTGTCCCTTGTCTAGGCCTGCAAAAAATGTAGCTTGATATGCCAGCTAGTTTATAGTGTTGAGATGGCACTAGATGACATTTTATCTTGGCATTTACAGTTCATTGGGCTGCCTAATTGATCATGAAAGCAAGTACTAGATTCTTAGAAAAGAAAAGTGCCTTGTTTGACTGTAATATGTAATTCAAAATTGTGACATTTTTACATGCAGGTATTGTATGTGTGTTGTGTGTATCTGTATTGATCAGTTCAGCTTTGTTTACAAGGAATTAAGAGTTCTGTATTGAATATATTGAAATGTAGTTTGTTTTTTGTAATAACACTTCCAAAGATATGCATTCATATCTTAGTCCAGTCCAATATACTATATAAATCATATCCATTTTATGGAAGTGCATGTTTGCTTGCAGTCTGCAAAATACATTGTGGACCCTGCTTTTTTATTATTGTAAGTAATTTATTGAGAGGCTTTAAATGTGAAAAAAAATACTTTTATCCCAAACACACTTCTTGTCCTGCATACAGTATTTATTGATCGTATACTACAGATTCAGAGACAACTTTTTGTAATATGCAGATATCATTAGGTGATTGGACAATGGCCATAGCTTTGAGGACCTTCATATAACCCCATCCCACTCCAGTAAATACCCAGCTTTTTTTTTCTAGTGTATTTAGGTAATTGAGGTCTCATCTCTTCTGATGTGTAAAGCTTTCCTTCCTTTTTTTTTTTTTAATGCTTCAAGCACGTTTCCTGCTGCATCCAGCCATGGTGGTTACTTCCAGATGAGTAGCCCATGGCTGCAACTTTGGAAACTGCACCCGGACCCCACTAGATGGAAGACCTGGAGCTGGCCTGTGATGTCATTTTGGGCAAGGGACGCTGTGTTAGGCACCCACTTTGGCATGTTGTGCAGTGTGTTGGGATAGCTGCAGGGTGCTATGCAGGTCCAGGGCAGTTATGTGTAATGTAACACTATCCCTGAAGACTCCTTTGGGGGGGAGGGGGGGGGGGGGGCCGCGTGTGCGGAT